TGTGCAAACTGGATGAATCCTACCACTGAGTACATTGTTCATGGAAGAGGGTCCATTGTTTCCTCATAATTCCGAGAGCAGAGTAGTCCCATCATGGGCCCTTGGTTGAGCACAGTTTGTTCCACATCCTCGCCATAATTCCGAGATGAGTTCCACTTAGGTTGAGTACAGCATACACGATCCTGTCATTCTGAGTCTAAGCTGTTGCCTTTCAGACTTCTTCAGGTTGAGGAAAAGGTTTGTCCACTTCATCGTTGCTTACCTTCTTGGCATGGTTCTGGTGGCTCAGAACATGTCACTCTATGGTTACAGTTGGGATCCACTCATATATATATGGAGAGAGAGAGAGAGATTACAGTCCAATTGCCCTAGCTGCTAACATGGGATATAGGGACTGTGGCCCTATAATTCCAACCCCGAGTAGTGGAACTTCAGCTATCTGGTTGGGGCCTGGCCAGTAGTGATGACAAATCATGTAAAATTCCACCCACAGTACATGGATTAAGTTCCAGTTGAAGAGCATACCTGTTCTGGTTGTAGTGCAGTTCCCCCACTAGGGTGCCAATCTTCTGTTAACATACCAATGATCTATGCAGATGCTTTCTGTGTGGATAATGTCCTCACTGGCCCCTTCACCTTATCAATATGGGATTCTAGCTGTAAGTGTGAGAGGAAGTATGCTTTGGAGTTAACATTTTCTTAAATCAAAAATGTATTTCTACCCTTCTTCCCCACTAAGAGCTGGTGTTAGAGACTGGGATTCAGTCAGTCTCGAAAATGTGATAACATTATCTGAATGAGGTGCTTATATACAGTACCAAGATAGAGGGTGCAATGATGTAGGTGGAGAATGTCACAGTTAAAAATCGCCAAGGGAATTTAAGTTGGGTATAAAAACTGGAGCAATCAAGAAAAAATTGTACCAATACTAGATGGGCAAAGGAAGAAACTCTGGCAGTAAAGTACCATATTTTTCAGAATATAAGACGCACACTTACTTGAAGACAAAGTTTT